ATAGGATTGGAATGCTGACCTTCAATTCCAATCTTTGTGACTCTTCTCTTTAGTTGAAAATTACTTATTAAGGGACATCTGGATAGCTCAGTTGGTTGAGCATCTGACTTGACTTAGGCCATGATCTTGTAGTTTGTGTGTTCAAGCCTCACATTGGGCACACTGCTGTCAGATCATCAGCACAGGAGCTGACTTCAGATCCTCTGTCCTCCCCTCTCTGTCCCTCCCCAACTTGTGCTTTCCCAAAAATAAAAACTATTTTAAAAAATAAACAAAAAAATTACATATTAAAAGCAAGTTTTCTCCTCTTATTGGAGTTTCATGGTTTTGGTGAGGAGTAAGTTGTACTCAGACACCCCTCAAAAGGCTTGTAGGCCTTTTACATAAGTTGTTGCTATCAGAAGAATCATTTTCACCATGAATTGTTTGTCTTTATGTAATGTAAGAAATGCTAGATGTATCTGGCTAGGTATTTTGAGGTGACTTTAGTGGATGAAACTCACAGATAAGTCTTATCAGTCTAGCTGGTTTTCAGGTATTGATCTGTTAGTTTACCTGTGATCGAGAAGATCTAAATATTCCCTTTAGCTTAACTAACCTTTCGACAGGCTGCTTCACTCCAGGCCCCTGGTCTTTCTGACTAGAAAGTCGTATGGTATAAATGTACAAGCAGGAGTCCAAATCAAGAGATTGTTGGTGAGTTCAGATTAAAGAAAATTAGGTGTTTTTCTCTCATTTGCAATATTTACCATTTTTACTTTGGAATTATTTTTGCTTGAAGAGCCATAGCTATTGTCTAATATGAGAAAATCCTTTCTGTTAATCACTACTAGGTGAACATTAAATTTTGAAAAGGTCTTTTTATTCCACTGGGCTTGGGTTCTTTCCCTATGACAGTGTTGAACTTTACCTAAGCCCTATGCCCTTGGAAAACAGCAATAGCCAGGAAGTCCCTGTAGCCTTTCATATTCCAGGGAACAAGTTACTGCAAAGAACCACCCTTCTGACATTGGATAAGACCTCAGATGAATCCCTCATATACTTATGACAAAGTGGGACACAGACCCACCAAATTCCTATTCTTTGTCTTAGAAATTACTAGGTCAGTGGTTTGTTCCCACTAACCAATCTGAACAAAATACTCACAAACTTAACTTGACCAAGCTTCAGTTAGGTGTCTTGCTTTCCCCAGGCCCCTGAACTCTGGCCCATCCTTGAGTTTAAATCAGTATTAGGAGATAAGCCAGGCTCTGGAAGGTGGAACAGTCTCCCCTAACAATCTCTCCCAGAGCCAGCCGGCAACAAAGACACTTCTTGTTCAACTACCTGATCACACCATCTGCTCAGCCCTCTACTGCATCTGGTTCTTTCTAGTCTTAGCGACTTGCCTGTGAAAGAAAAGTCCTTTCTGCCTGATGTCTGAGATGCTCCTAGATTTTACATTTGGAGTGTTCTCCCTATTCCAATAGTCTTTACAAATGAAATTTTTCCTTACGTAAGTCTGAATTTGTTTTTTGACCCCTGAATATAATTGCCATTTTCATTGGCTAACAAAATTGGTTCTATCTCTACATCTGTGATTCTCAGTTTTGTTTTTACCAGCCCAGTTATGAATTCAACTACAGAAGTGTTTAGGAGGAAGATGATTTTGTCATTTTAGGAAACTTTGTGCATACTGACATGCTGAAAACATATTTGTTTTCATATTCTTCAGTGAAATAATATAAATTTGTAGAATTTGAGTTTTTACATAGATAACTTGAAAAAACTAGTAAACATTTTCTAAAATGCTGAGAATGATTTAAAATTTGCAATCTAAATTTTCTGAAGTAGTGGTTTATTGACTTCAACTTTTTCAAATTGTGGCTGTATGATTTTAGAGAGGGTCTGAAGCCAATCTGAAAGTTCAGGTTGGCCTCTCTCTTTGGTTTCCTGTTGCATATGTGCAAGTAAGCACCAAACTAGTGAAAGAGCAACTACACTTGAAGAGGCTTTGCAAGGTAAAGTAGGTGCAAATAAAACCACACAATGGACTAAAGAGACAAATCTATTTAAGATCACCTGCTATTTTACTTAGCCATGCTTTTCTGCTACAGTTAGCTTCTGGCCTCACCACCGGCATGGCAGCTGATGATGCATGTTTTCTGTTTTATGCCTCTACTACCAGTCTGTATTTGATCTGGAGACTCAAATCAAAGATTCTATTTGGAGATTTCTATTTGGATAAAAAGAACAGTAGAAACTTCAGGGTATCATGAGAATGGCCCCAGAGTAGAAGGGCTCTAATACTGTGTCTGTCATTTACTTATGATGATCTTACATTGCCTAACCTCTCCTGAGTCTGTTTCTATAGAATAATTAATTCCATCCTCATGTGCAATCTTAAGGGCAAAAAGACATTATAGGGTAGTAAGAGCTTTTAATATTTAAATATTTTTACTCCCACATTTGCATTTTCCATCTTTAGTAGATTATGAGCTACCTAAATCAGAGGCCCTATATTCTATCCAACATACAAGTAAACACATAATAGTTATTCAGTAAACACTTTTGAATGGGTGACTTGCTGTGAATGCATGACTGTAAGCAATACTAAAATAAATTCCACAAATAATTCAACAAACATTTATTGTGTGAACATTATTGTGCTAGGTCCCTTAAGAGATACAAAAATGGATCAGACATGAATCCTGCCCTCCAGGCACTTACAGTCCACCAGAGGATATCAGAAGTGTGTATAAATAACAAGGTAGAAGTTTCTTTAAAAGTCCTAAGAGAGGTACAGAAGCATTGTCATCAGAGTTCACAGGAGAAATTATTTCTAGCTTGGAAAGTCATGAGAACTTTTGTGAAGATGAAATATGAGGTGTACCTTGAAGCATAGAAAAAATGTAGATGTGGAGGAAAGGGAAGGACTACCAGTCCAAGGGCCCAAAGATCTCCGCAGGTCATGACTGCAGTGGGCTCAGGGCTCAGAGGGAACCGCCCAGCGGTGTCTAAGCGGACAGCTGCGAGGCAGCTTTGGCAGAGGACATGGATGTGCATGTGCAGTGGAAACTTAGAAGAAGTAGACTCAAAGGAGAGCTCCCTTAAAATTAAGATTCCTTGATACTTATTGACCTGCCTATACATTTTCCCTTCTAGATTAGAAACAAATGAAAAGCACCACTACAACCTGGCATCCCTCTTAGAGTAACAAAAAAGTGACCCTAACATTTTCAAGTATGCAATTTCTGGTTACTTTTCATACAATACTATTGTTACTAAAACTCGCGAAAAATAGAAGTGAAAAAAATATAAGATTTTGTTTTATGGCAGTGACTATTGTAGTTTTACAAGAAATATTAGTCTAATATATTGAATTTGTTTTTTAAACATAGCATTTATGCTTTGAAATATATGCTTCTTGAGGGTTTTTTTTTTTTTCAATCAAGTTTGAAATGGGAAACTGTCCTACATGGTTTTTATTCACTCAATAGGTCACTGAGATGGAGCTAAGCATGTGTAGATATATGGGTATGTAGATATATGGATATATGTAGACCTACATATATATCGGTCTGTATATATACATACCCATAAATATATGCAAATGTATGTACTTATAGACACGTGATATAGAAAGAGAATGAGAAATTTACTAAATATTTCTGTCACCAGAAAGTCATCTTAAAAATTTAATAAGCATTTAATACTACAATTACATTATAATTGGCATGAAGTTTATTCTATAGAAAAATCACTCCTTAGTTATGTTATATTCTGATGTTGCTTTTATTTTTTAAAATCTGGTTAAAAATATATTTTTAACATTTTTACATTGAGAACATTATAAGTATCTGACAGGAGTTCAGCCTGAGCTGGGCAGTTTTTAAGGCTCTAGCTTAGTGGTGCACTTGAGTGTTGAAGCACCTTTGTCTCTGCCTGGACTCATGGCCTGCAGGGCCGGGTCCCCCAGGTCATGGGTAGCCGGAGCCAGCTCACTTGAGTGTCTGACAGACCACAGAAGACCATGCAGCTTAGGTTTAACAACAAACTAATCGAAATAAACACTCTAGGAATTTTGAAGACCCCAATCTCCTTTATACTCCCTATACTTCCTCAGCCTGGAAGTCACAATCTCATCATCCATTAAAAGGACGGCAAAATTGCTGAAATGCTTTGCACCGCGTTTCCTTTCATGAGGCTTTGAGAAAGCAGGAAACATCACTGGTGTGGCTTTCCACGACACAGGACACCAGGGGCCCTTTTGTAGTCAGCTCACCTCAGACTTCCCACTTTTCAAACCAGAGATAAAGCATCTACCAAATACATCCATGCCCCTTTTCCTTCCGCTAGAGAATATACAGATAAGATATTTTAAAAATCCTGAATCGGTTCATTTTTTTTGTATGCTATGAAGAACTATAGTACAAGTAGTTTCTTTTGTGAAACATGCAATGGACTTCATTACTTATAATAAACATTTTCCCTGTATTATGTTTTGTATGGCAACTTGCTGTTTCCTACTAGGAAACGTCTTTTTGCCACAAAAAGATAGGAAAAAACCATAATATTTATGTAAATGTATGATGGCAGCAGATTTCTGACAAGCCCCATTTACATGGTACATTGTTTCAAAGGATGTTTGAGTAGAAAATACAGAAGCACTATACAAACCTACTATTACATTTGAGAAATCATTAGCCTCAAAGGAGTAATAACGGTATGCTATTAAAACCGTGAATACATTTTCAGTATTTGTATTGAAAAAAAAACTTTATAAATATGTAAATTTCTGTTCAACAAATCCAAAATAAAATGCACTAAAAAACTGATATGTAGACAAAAGTTTATTTACACCATACAACATTTTAAATATTTTATACACAGTTGCAGCAGAGAAAGCTACTCAGAGCTTTCTAGAGAAAACTGCAATAATAAAGATGTGAAATATATTATTCATATAAAAGTGAGATTATTACTTTATTGCATTTAAAGCAATGAAGAATGTAGCTCAACAAACATTCATTTAATGACAAAAACTTTGCTTTTATATTATAAAGTAAAAAGTGTAGTAATGGCCAAACAGACTGTTATAAACTTTAAAAACTGCATAAATATATACATTGTGCTTCATGGTGAAGTTTTTTGAAAACTAAACCATATGAAGCGGTTACAACATGAATCGTTGCTTGAGGTTTATCTATAAAGATTACCTTACAAATCCATTCCACGGGTACTTACAACACAGGATGGTCAGAACTGTACACCTGGTCCTCTCTCCACTAGCCTCACTAGTGAGAAGTTCCCATATGCAAACACCACTGACATTTGGCACATGAAGGTCCTGACATAGGATAGTCACACTGTCCAGATAGAAATGTCAGGCTTCCCAAGTCTTAAGTGTCAGTGCAATAAATTGTTTTATGTCCACCTCAGTCCATTTTGACTTCGTTAAACTTCTGTTTGAAAGTCACCCTCCTGCACATCCAGAGGCAAATTCAGACACTTCTCCCACTCTGCTGGCCTCAGTTCCAAAGCGTCCTTTGCCTCTGTATCTAAGACATTGATTGTGGTGTAGTGTTGGTATTCACTGGGGTTTTTGAAAGTGTCCCATGGATTCTTGTTTGGTGCTGGGTTTTCCTGTTGAGAAGAGAGGAGAAGAGAGTCATCTATTTGATGACAAGGATTTCCACTTGTTGAAGTTCCCAGGAAGAAAGCATGCATGTGACCTTAATCCAGTTTATATGATTCAGAGATGATTTGAAATTGTAGCCAGCTGCAAGAAATGGTTTTGATTTTAGTTTTCTTTCATTGAAAAAACTGATGAACACCTTCTTTATGTTATTCTAAAAACTTCCACCAATCAAAGGAATTGAATAATATATGGAAGGCAAAGTAGATGATGTTGTGTTTTAGGTGTCTTGTCAGGATAGCTATGTACTGAGGAAGGAAGAAGCTTTTGTGTTAAGATTAAATGTAAAAAATCTGGGGCACCTGGGTGGCTCAATTGGTTAAACATCCAACATTTGATTTTGGTTCAGGTCATGATCTCACGGTTCACGGGATCAGGCCCCATATAGGGCTCGGTGCTGTCAGCATGGAGCCTGCTAGGGATTCTCTCTCTCCCTCAAAATAAGTAAACATTTAGACGTAGAAAATTTAAGTATTTTGGCTGAATCTTTGGTGAGATAAACAAGATTTGAAGATACGTAATGGGGCATATTATGTAATACTAAAAATAGTCCCAAAGTGGTCATATTTCATAAAACTGAATTTCATTAACTTTGCTTAGTCACATGCAGACCCAAATTCAAGAAATTATCCTGCTTAGAGTATTAAAATGCTATTGTGTCCTTTGTGTGATCTATTTTTTTCCCTGCTGAAAATTCCCCACAACTTTCTATATATTTGGGTAGCACACTAATTTAGCAAAAATCATTCTTCCCTTCAAAGAGCACAGATTTTTGGAAAATATATTCCACCGATATAAGGGGTTTTAAATAATGTCCACAGGCCAATCTTCATTATGTTTCATAGTATACACCCTCTTACTACCTAAGATTTAAGATCTGCTTAATTAGGATACCACTCAGACCTTCCATGTTGTAGGGGCTCAATAAATATGAGTACACATTATTCAACGTTTCTATAGCCTGATATTTTGCTAAGATTTACCAGTGAACTTGATCTATTTTACATAGTGTTATTTTAAGATTTCTGTAAAATGAGGGAATTTGAATGTGGTAGACTAAGCTGAATAACATCAAAGAACAAGAAGGAAATCAGGACTGAATTCTCTTTAGACCAGATTAAACTACAACACTTAAGCAGCTATAATTGTTGAATGTGTCCTTTATTCTTCCCCTCTCTACCCTAAATTTTAGCCTTCACTGACTGTAATTAATTAGCAGGGGGAATATAAAACAGGTACTGGAATGATTATCTGGGTTCTCCTGACTATACTGAAAATCATTCTCAAGTATAAACAAAAGAGAAAACCTATAGAAATATTTATCATAACTAGAAATTAAATGAAAGCCTTCAATACAGTAGATGTTTTTAATGCTTATTAGCCTTAATCATGAGGACATACAAGAAAATAGCTAGTAGTTAAGACATGATAGTTTTTAACCTTTAAGCTACATGGAGCGGATTAATTCTGATTTAGTCTACTATCCCAAAGTATTATGAACTATATAGTCTTGTAACTCTTCCCTTCCCTCTTTGCTTGCTCCCCTCAACTAATATTTATCAGCTGCTCTGTGCTGGGCATAATACTAGGCACTAGGGAGAATAAAGATGGAAAACCAACATGGTTCACTAGGAAGCATATGATGTAAAGCCTGATACATGCAGATCCAAATTCCAGTTGCTCCATTTCATATGAATGTAACTCTGAGTAATTTACTTGGTTTCCATGAACTTCAACATAAAGACATGTGTGATTGGAGGTTGGGTGGCTGAACAAGCAATGCATACTGAGAAGTAAAAATCCAGAGAACATGCAGATAGGACAACTCTGAGAACAGCTGATTTTAGTTGGAATGAAAAAGACTAGAGTAACTAGGCAGAGGTGAACTGAAAGCCAGATCACAAGGGACAATGTATGCCAGGGCACTCAATTTGGAATTTATTTTGTAGGCAATGGGGAATGGTTGAACATTTCAGGGCATTACAGTGACCTGAATCATCAATCACTGATTGAAAGGTTCACTGATGTGAATTCTGCTGAATCAAGCCACAGAGAGGATTTATCCTTCTTAGACAAAGGCTGTGTCTTAAAGGAGCTTTCTGGGAATCCTTAGCTTGACAAAGTTCTATTAGTTCAGTCCTAAAAAAAATTCAAGGTATGTAAACTATTCGCTCATTTGCTTTGGAAACAGGGATTTCATTATGTTTGAAACAGATGTGCTTTTCAATTTATATTCTGAAGACAAGGACCATGGATCCATGAACTAAAATGGCCAGTTTAAAACTCTGTCACAATGTCTAGATTCTAATTTCACAGTATTATTGCCGGTATATGACTGACTGAATTTCTGAGGGGTTCTGTTAGTGGGTAATAATAAGGTTGGCTTTCTTATTCATCTCCTCTGGCCTCCCATGGTATTCCCAGTTGTGCTGTGGTTCTCGCCATTGTTCACAAAAGTGTGGACACCCTTTAGGTCTGAGGCCCATGCTGCTTTAGTGGTAAAGAACTACTGTATCCAGCAGTAGAACTCACCCAAACAGAGCACCACACACAAAAAAACCAAAAAGTGAAGAAAGCTTAAAGGGACCTACAGGACATCAAGTGAAACAACAATTCAACGTGCTGCAAGCAAAAATCCCAGCCAAGAATACAAAAGTAGTAAGAATAATGACTACAACAATTAATTATGGAACACACACACAAATGTGATATGGAACAACAAAAACGTCAAATGTTGGGGTGGGCGGTTAAAATGTAGAGTTTTAGAATGTGTGCAAACTTAACTTGCTATTAATGTAGACTGGTATGTATATATATATATATACAGGTTGATATATGTAAGCCTCAGGGTAACAACAAAGCTAAAATCTGTAGTAGATACATAAAACTAAAGATAAGCATCAAACCACAAGAGAGCGAGAAGACAAAAGGAACTGAGAAGAACTATAAAAACAGGCAGAAAACAAGTTACAAAATGGCAATTAAGCACATACCTATTTATAACAACTTTAAATGTAAATATACTAAACTCTTCCATCAAAAGACATAATAGCTGAATGGATAAAAAAAAACAAGACATGTTTACGCTGCCTATAAGAGACTTACCTCGGTTGTAAGGACACACAGACTAAAAGTGAAGGGATGAAAAAGGATGTTTCATGCAAATGGAAACCATGAGAAAGCTGTGGCAGCTGTACTTAAGTCAGACAAAATAAACTTTAAAACAAAGACTAATAAAAGATTATGGGCATTACATAATGATAAAGGGGTCAATCAAAAAGAAGATATAAATCTGTATGTAGGCACCCAACCTAGAAGCACATAAATAAAACATATATTGTAACAGACTTACAGGGAGAAATTGATAATGATACAATTATACCAGGGGACTATAATACCTCACGTATATCAATGATAGATCATGCAGACAGAAAGTCAAACATCAGCCTTAAATGACCCACTAAACCAGATGGATTTAATAGATACATGCAGAATACACATTCTCCTCAAGTCCTCATGGAACATTCTCCAGGATAGGTTATATGTTAGGCCACAAAACAAGTCTCAATAAATTTAAGAAGACTGAAATCATCTATTTAAAACACAATTGTATGAAACAGAAAATCAATCACAAAATAACATCAAAGAAATGAAATACCTTGAGGCAAAAATGAAAATAAAACATAATAAATCTATGTGATCTGTAAATGCAGTTCTAAGACGGAAGTTCACAGGGACACAAGCCTACCTCAAGAAACAAGAAATATCTCAAACATTCTAACTTTACACCCTGAGGAATTAGAAAAAGGAGAACAAAGCCCAAAGTTAGCAGAACGAAGGAAATAAAGATCAGAGTGTAAATAAATGAAATAGAGACTAAAATGACAATAGTAAAACCAACGAAACAAAGAGCTGGTTCTAAGAAAAAAAGAGAAAGGGTTCAAATAAATGAAACAGAAATGAAAGGGAGATGTTATAAATAATACCAAACAAGGATGATAAGTGATTAGTATGAACAATTATATGCCAAATTGGACATAACAAATGTAACAGAATGGGACAACCTAAAATAAATGAATAAATTCCTAGAAACAGACAATTTTCCAAGACTGAATCATGAAGAACCAGAAAATGAATCGACTGATTACTAGCAAGGAGACTGAATCAGTAATCAAAATCCTCCCAACAAACAAAAGTCCAGGACCAGATGGCTTTACTGGTAAATTCTATCAAGTAATCAAAGAAGATTTAATATCAATCCTTCTCAAACTCTTCCAAAAGTTGAAAAAGAAGGAGCACTTCCAAACTCATGAGGCCAGTATTACCCTGATACCAAAACCAGAAAAGGATGCCACATATAAGGAAATTACAGGCTATTATCCTTGATGAACACAGATGTAAAAATCCTCAATAAATATTAGCAATCTGAATTTTAAGCAATACATTAAAAAAATCATATACCATGATCAAATGTGATTTATTCCAAAGACACAGAGATGGTTCAACGTCTGCAAATCAAAGAATGTGATTTTAATGAAGAATATTAACAAAATGAAGGATAAAAATCACATAATCACTTCAATAGATGCAGAAACATCTGACAAAATTCATCATTTCATGATAAAAACTCTTAACTACGTGGCTATAGAGTGAATGTGTCCTAACATAATAAATGCTATATATGTCAAGCCCACAGCTAACATTAAACTCAGTGGTGAGAAGCTAAAAACTTCTCTAAGATCAAGAACAAGACAAAGATGGCCACTCTTGCCACTTTTATTCAATATAATACTGGAAGTTCTAGCTGAAGCAATTAAGCAAGAAAAGGAAATTAACAACATCCAAATTGGAAACAAAATAAGTAAAAGTGTCCCTATTAGCAAGTGACATAATTTTATGTGTAAAAAACCCTAAAGAGACACCTGAGTGGCTCAGTCAGTTAAGCGTCCGACTTCAGCTCAGGTCACGATGTCACAGTTTTTGAGTTTGAGCCCTGCATCAGGCTCACCACTGCACTCAGCACGGAGCACACTTGGGATCCTCTGTCCCCCTCTCTCTCTGCTCCTCCTCCACTAGTGCTCTCTTCCCGCCAAAACAAAAAAAATACATTAAAAACAAATCAAAAACCCTAAAGACTCCACCAAAAAACTGTCAAAACCAATGAATTCAGTAAAGTGGCAGGATACAAAATATATAAAAATCCTTTGTGTTCTAATACACTAACAACAAACTGTTAGAGAAGTCAAGAAAACAATTCCATTTACAACTCTATCAAAAAGAATAAAGTATCTAAGAATAAACAGAAGTAAGAAGTAAAAGACTTATACAGTGAAAACTATAAAAAATTGATGAGAGATAATGTAGAAGACAAAAATAAATGGAAAGATATGCCATGCTCATAGACTGGAAGAATTAATATTGTTCAAATGTCATATTACCCAAAGCAATCTATAGATTTGATATAATCCCTAACAAAATAGTAATGGCATTTTTCACAGAAACAGAACAATTCTAAAATTTATACAGAACTACAAAGATCCCAAATAGCTAAAGCAATCTGGAATAAAAAGAACAAAGCTGGAGACATCATGCTCCCTGATTTCAAACTATATCACAAAGCTATAGTAATCAAAATAGTATAGTATCGGCCTAAAAACAGACGCGTAGATTAATAGAACAGAATAAACAGCTCTGAATAAACCCATGCATATATGTTCAAATAATTTACAACAAAAGAGGCAAGAATGTACAGTGGGGAAAAGGACAGTCTCTTCATGAAATGGTGTTGAAAGAACTGGACAGTGACCTGTGAAACAATTAAAGTGGACTAATATCTTCCACCATATACAAAAATGAACTCTAGGTGCATTAAAAACTTGGAAAATAAGATTAAAAAATATAAAATTCCTAGAAGAAAACACAGGCAGAAAGCTCTTTGGCACAGGTCTTGGCAACATTTTTTTGGATCCGACTCTAAAGGCAATGGTAAGAAAAGGAAAAACTAAACAAATGGGACTACATCGAACTAAAAAGGTTCTGCACAGCAAAAGAAACCATCAACTGAATAAAAATGTAACTGAATGGGAGAAGATATTTGCAAATCATATATGCGATGAGGTATTAACATCCAAAATATATACAGGACTCATACACTCAACAACAAAAACAATGCAATTAAAAAATGGGCATAGATTCTGAATACATGTTTTTCCAAAGAAGACACAGATGGCTAATAGGCGAGATGCTCAACATCACTAATCACCAGGGAAATGCAAACCAAAACACAATGAGGTATCTCATGCCTGTGAGAATGGCTATTATCGAAAAGACAAGAAATAAAAAATGTTGGCAGAAATGTGGAGAAAAAGGAACGCTTGTGCACTGTTGGTGGAAATGTCAACTGGGGTAGCCACTGTGGAAAACAGTATGGAGGTTCCTAAACTAAAAACAGAACCATCATATGATCCAGCAATTACACTTCTGGGTATTTATCTGGAGAAAATGAAAATACTGATCTGAAAAGACATTTTGTACCCTTATATTCACTGCATCATTATTTACATAGCCAAGATAATGGAAAACATCACAAGTGTACAACTGATGGGCAAATGGATAAAGAAAATGTGCCATACACACACCATATATATACATACACACATGCACACAATGAAATACTACTCATACAGAATGAAATTTTGCCTTTTGTGACAACAGGTCATTATGCTTATGCAATAAGTCAGACAGACAATGACAAACACCATATAATTTCGCTTATATGTGCAATATAACAACAAAACAAATGAAGAAACAAAACTCATAAGTGTAAAGAACAGATTGATTTCCAGTGGGGAGGGGGTTTGGGAGAAGGTTGAAATGGAAAAAGGAGGTCAAAAGGTACAGACTTCTAAGATAAATAAGTCATGGAGATGTAATAACAATATCGTATATTATATACCTGGATACACTGACAGGAGGAAACTAGGTTAACTGGGTGATCATTTTGCATGTCTACAAAATAGCAAACCATTATGTTGTATGCCTGAAACTAATGCTGTTATTCTACCACAATAAAAAAAAATTATAAACTCAGTATAAGCCAACATACATGAAGCTTCCAAAGATGCTAATTTTGTCTTAGGCTGTATACACGGAAATGGAATGTTAGCTGAATATGAGAATTCGTGGCCAGCTGGACCACAGCAGGGCCACCTGAGCATTTCCCATAGTTCATGGGTCCAGGATCAGACTAGTCACTTCTGGACAAGTCCCTCCCTTCCTCCATCTACCCATTTCTCTTTTCCTCCTTCCCTTTCTTTTTCCTTACCCTCCTTCTAATAATCTACCAATTCTGGGGACAAGGGAAAGAGAGTATATTTATTCTGTATTCTAAAAAAGTAAGAATTTGGAGAAGTTCCTTGGGGGAAAGAGATCTTGCTGGTGAAGAGTTTGTGAGACACACTCAAAGTAAGAGCATTCTTTTAACACTGCCTTTTCTTTGTCATGTGATTTAGACGTCCTGCCTGGAAGCAGGGAAATGCACGAAATGGTCTTTTGGGTTCCCTTTGATTCCCCAAATTCTACATAATTACCATCATTTGCAGTGTTAGGCAGGTGTTATGAGTTAGTAGCCAGAAAAAAGGAAAAGACTTTGAGATTTTTGTTTTGAAAATGTCTTTCTCTACCCAATTATGCCAGTTTTTCATTAGCAATGTGCCACATGAATTATGACTGAATTAAGTATAATGAACTCACTCACATGTTCATTATTAATCAAAACTGAATAAGGAACTCTTTTTTTTCCTGTTCTCAGATATTTAGGACAATAGTCAAGCAGCAATGACAACTCTATCCTTCCCACTCCTAACCTTCCAAATTATAAATATTTATAAATCTTTTCTAGAAAAGGCGTGCTGCTGCTGAGATGTAGTGTAATTAGTAGGCTATTTTGGTTGTCAGGAAACGGAGATACAGATATTTGTGCCATTAATGATTTAATACCCAGACCATACAACTAGGGGAAATTACAATCATATTATAGCAGTCAGCCAGCTGTAGCTATTGCATAAGGCTTTCAGATTTGTAAACATAACCCTCTCCTTTTTTAAAAAAAGACAAATGACGTTTCTTCAATTTATTTCAATGTTAGCTTTCAATGTTCCAGAATGAGTAGCTAATGTGTTTAGTTCTAATCTCAATGGTGCAATTCTCATTTGCCTGGCAAACTAAAAACTGACGGCCCAATATTAGGAGGAGTAGATAAGAAAGAACGACTCATTACATATAAGTGTCTTCTATATGCCCAGCGTTGTATTGATGATAACAAATGATGTGTGATTCTTGCTGTATGGAGGAAAATAGGTTGATGTATACGTGAATTATTTACAGACCAATTAAGAGTTAAGGTCTATTGTATTTCTTATAATCTTCATTTAACAAACACAGATGGAACTATCAGAAGAAACATTCAATAAATCAAGAGCAGCTATGTACTGATAAATTACCATGATCAGCATTGTACCAGTACTGAGAGGAATACAAGAAAAACAAAGGTATGTAAATTCTTGTTCTCATAAGCTGATGTTACTAATCAGGAAGCTAGGACTTAGACTCATAACACACATATACAAGACTCACTAGAGTTAGAAAGTGATCAAATACCATATCTTTTACAGTGATGTACATATACCATATATATGTTGGGAGGAGGGGGAGGGCTGCAAAGGTGTAAGGCAGAGCAAAAGCACTATTTTTGAAGTGAAGAACAATGGAGTCAGATGGCAGCCCCAGCCCTCTTAGAGCTGAGTTTCAGCTTCTTAACCTCTCAAGTGCCCTACCTGCTCTGGAAAGTGTTATGAGAACCAAAGAAGGCATTAATTATTGTTTTCTAAGTTCAATGTTCAAAACTTGAGCTGGGTAATTTTGTCAAGATCAGATAGTTCTTGGGGGAGCTTTCACTGGTATACTGATTTCTAGACTCCTCATTCAGTGCTCTCAGAAATAATTACATAGCCTTCTCTGGAGCTATATCTGTGCCATGTACATGGCAACCGCAAAATATGATGTGATGAATTTCTTTTTTTTTTTTTAATGTTTTTTTTAAAATTTATTTCTAGGAGAGAGAGCGAGCGAGACAGCGTGAGCAGGGGAGGGTCAGAGAGAGGGAGTCACAGACTGAAACAGGCTCCAGGCTCTGAGCTGGCAGTCAGCACAGAGCCCGACGCGGGGCTCGAACCCACACACCGCGAGATCATGACCTAAGCGAAAGTCGGACACTTAACCGACTAAGCCACCCAGGCGCCCCTATGAATTTCTAATACTTAGACTGCAGTAGTGTGAATTAATGAGAAAAAAATGGTCCAATCAACAACCAAAGTCTCCAATGTTGATGTATTTCTCAAAACTCTTGTCACTTGTTCAACAAGTGAATCTCCTGGAGACAAACCCTAATACTTTGTTTCAGGTAACAGAGTGTATATTCATGCACACACACATACATTTTATGACCTTAAAATGCCAGACATTCAAATGAAAATGGAAAAGCTATTTGAGTATATGAATCAACTGACTTTTAGTGATCAAAAAAGGGCCAGGTGAACCTAACACATTTTTGATATATAATTCCAGTTAAAGCTTATGAATGAAAATGTTTAAAATAGGAATAAAAATGCTTAAAGAGTCTATCATTCCTAATTTGTTTCTTAGTACTTCCAGAATACGTTTTGTAGCATTATTTTTTTTCCTCTGGATGCCAGTCTTGGGTTCACAAGACAGTGAAAAGCTCCTGGAGGGCAAAGGTAATAGCTGACGTGATACATCAATGTGGGGCCAGGCATTGATGAGGTAAAGCATACTCACCATACTGCTTGTATTTGGTATGTCCCGAAATCTGTCCAAAGTTTGAAATTTCTGATTCAGCTCCTGAAACAGTTCCATATGTCTCTTCCTTGTATGCATGACCTTCTGTAAAAGAGAACAGAGTCGTTCCCATTTCTAATTTGATTTATACCTTTTAAAAAGAGCTTTAATATTTTCACTTTAACTAATAAGGAAAATCAAGTTTGGCAGGAACCAAGAAGTCCCTAAAGACACCAAAAATGCAAATGAGTTGCAGCCAATCCTTGTTTCCTAGTCAGCACTTCTTAAACATGAAGAATTGGCTTTATTTCCACTTACAAGATTACCAAAAAATAGTTTTCTCTTGTGGGTGCATTAAAAATGTAGCAGTCATTCCTGTGTAAGATTTTCATCACTCAAAGTTAAAGCTGTTTTACAAAAATTGTAATAACATAAAAAAATGTTTAAAAATTTGGACTTGTAAAGCACCCAAGTCTCTCAATGTTTCTCATGGGAAATATTACTTTTTTTAATGTTTTATTTCCATAAACACTAAAATCCTAGCCGGCTGTACTAAAGGGGGAGCAAGCTCCCAGGCACTGCCTTTTAAGGCTGACTCAAAGCACTAAAGTGTCTGAAATATATGTGAGACCTAAAATCTTACACTTTCCTTGAATAATGATTGAGCTTTGCAGAAAGAAAATCTGACCCATAGGTTTCATATATTTGTTTACAAGATGGAACGGAATCTTAATGAAAGGACTCATAGCATAAATTGTGTAGTAGATGAACTACTCAAATCACTGATACAAATATCTTAATACTCTTTATCCCTGGTTACGTCCTTGTCTCCCAACTTCATCATAACTCAACAGATAGAGTTCTAAATAAAAATGACCTCAGGGTAAGTATCATGGGCTGAATCCATTCTATTACAGAGCAATTTATAGAGAGGATAATAAATCCTCTGTATTTACAAGTATTATTTTAAAGGAGAAAGTACCTTCTTCAATTCTGATTTTAAAAGTTAAAAATCAATATTTCAGTGATTTTCCAAGATTGTGACTCCATGTTTGTATAAGATTTTATAGCATTGTAAAGCATGTGCTCATGTGGGTTTTGGAGGTGTATTGTATTCATGCTTAAGGTAGGATTCAAACATACCAATTGCTTAAACCATTGCTTAAGCTATGATTTATTTTAATTACCAAATATTTTCAAAAGGAAAGGAAATATATCTTTAGGGGAAGATCTATAAAGAATGGTTTTCTTCTAAAAAGACACTTGTAGAGAACACTATCTCCTTGGGGGGAAAAAAAGCAAAAGAGAAATGCAAATTAAATCTTTATCATACTTTAAAAAGCCTTATTCTCTGTTATACCAAATTTAATTCCCTATATTTAATGACTCTGTGTTAGGCAATACTTTGTTTAGCTAATTTCTTCTATTTTCATTAGCCTACTTTTATGAGAGAATTCTGACATTTTAAGTCTTGCTCTAACTGAATTATTTTCATGGTTGCTCCTCTTAGTTCTAGGAGTTGGCTGTTAACGAATCAGGTGGTTGAGGATGAGAACATGGCAACATTACTCATGATGAGGACATGAAACATAGCAAGCAATTACAGAGTGATTAACTTCCCATCAGTTTTGGGGAGAGTACAGGAAACAGATTTGCAGGATTTACAGAGAAACACCAGGCAAACATAATTTGACTAGCAATGGCTGATGGAGATTTATGAGAGGGAGGATTTGCATAAGCAACTCAGTGGAGGGATTTTGAGGACCACATAAACTGGCAAACATAACAAAATACATTCTATCCCCAGGGACTCAAATATTCCCTTGCAGTACCAGGGCCTAAGACACTGATTAAAATACTACTTGTGTCACAGGGAGTACCTTTAAAATAAAACTATAGTCATCAGAATATTAACTGTGGCTCTAACTTACAAATAGCGTTTCTCATAATAATGAATCTTATTACCATGTAGCTATTTTCTGCTAGGGTGCAGTAGTACTAAAGTCACGCTACTGACATTTCTCTAAAGACACTTCATTCTGTCAGTTAATACATATTCATGAACACCATATATCGTGTTAGCTGCTTAAGTAACAATGCTGTGCAAAATCTGTTACAGTTTCTCCCCTCTTATAGCTTGAGGTATGTAATGGAGGACATAGGCAATAATCACATAAGAAATCAAATACATGTTATTTTAGAACTGAGATAAGTAAAACAATTGTGGGGCTATGAGAGTAAGTGCTAGGGGAACTCGCTAAAATAAATGCAAAGGGAGCAGATTCCCAAGTTTTTGTATACTCTTTTTTAACTTGAAAATTCTCAAATCAGTTATTCTTGCATCTTGTTTGTTCTCTCTTCCATTTTCTGAAATTCAGAGAATTTCTAGTATAATTTTTAATCTTAAGCCCTTTCCTCAGTGAGATCATTCTTTTCCCAAGACAAGAAACACATTTTCTTGTAAGACAGTTGATGTTATTGGCACAGCTTCCTCATTTTAAGGTGGGCCTATGATGTGCAGTCTCCATTTACCTTTTCTCGTATGAGAGGACCCTGACTTTGCACTGGGGAGTGAAACTTTATTATGGCTGTGCCTCCTGTCTGCTGGTTAGAAGGTCAGTTTATCCATATCCTTCCAACAAAGCTCTCTTTTGTTTGTTAGTCAGAGTCACTCTCTGTCTCTTGCAACCAAATAGTTCTATTGGGTAAAGCATGTTTAATGAAGCAAAGTGTTAAATATATCCCATGGCAATTAGGATATGTTAATTGATTGGAGCTTTTATCATCCTATTCTGACTGAATAGGCCACAGCTGATTCTGAACTGAGTGGACTTTATTTTAAGGAGCTACGTTGCTAGAACATACACAGAAATATATATGGTGGACGCAAGTTTTACAGAACCAAGAAACATTTTGCAATGTTCTACACAGGTTCATGAAAGCAACCCTGAAAAATAAAGCTCAAGGACCTTGCAAAGAAGATGGAAAGAAATTAAAAATTTGGATACTGAATTTCGGGACCCTTCCTATCTACAAACATTAATTGCAAATACATCCTCATGCCAGATAGTCACTCTAATTTGAAACTGTCACCTTGGCACAGCCAGAAATCACCATAGCAGTGATGGCCTGGTGGCTCTGACAGAAGCACCACACAGGAGCTGCCCATCAAGAGCACACATATCTGTCATGGGCTCATGATTCCTTTTTGTTCACTGACTTAAGTACACCCTTCAGCTTTTTTAGTGGGGAAGCGTCCACTGACATGAAGGCCAGCATCACAGTGAGTACTGGAGAGTTTCCAACCCAGCAATGTTTGGGGATAAAAACATGCTGTGGTTTTAGTTTTCATGAATAATATGGGTTTCCCCTTATTTATTTATTGGACTGAATAATTATCTGTAGCACCCATGCCTTTTGATGGTCTTAACCACATAATTTGAAGTTTTTGTGCTTATAAATAAATCCCACTGGTCCTAAAAAAAAAACTTTAATGGCTACTCACCTTAAGGTTCTATCTGTTCACTTTTTTTTTCTTTTGGTGGCCAAAACACATCTTGTGTTCCAAAGAAATCGATTCCTATGAAAACTCAGTTTTCTAAAACTTTGTGAAGATAACACTATACCTCATGTAGATTTTCTTTTTAAATAAACAAATATGTTCTCATTGACACTATACATAAAATTCAGGTTGCTTTAGTTATAATACCTGTCAAATAACAGAGACATCTTTTGCAATAAAGAGAAATGCTTGGTAATGCTCCCTTGTACTCAGGTTATTATGACATTTTTTTGAAGCTGTGTGTGACCGCTGTCATGAGAGGATCAGCAACCTAACTGCAGAAAAGTATCTCCCGAAATAGCATATTTCATAAAACTCTTATCTCTTTAAAAATTTTTTTAATGTTTATTTTTGCGAGAGAGGGGGAGAGAGAGAGAGAGAGAGAGAGAGAGAGAGAGCATGAGTGGGGGAGGGGCAGAGAGAGAGGGAGACACAGAATCGGAAATAGTCTCCAGGCTCAGAGCTGTCAGCACAGAGCCGGACTCCAGCTAGAACGAACAGCCTGCGAGGTCATGACCTGAGCCGAAGTCGGACACTTAACTGAGCCACTCAGGTACCCCAAAACTCTTATCTTTTATTTTACGTCTTGGTAACTCAAGGATGACTGCCTTAATTGTTTATATATAGGAAAAAGTGATAGGTTGTAAAGTGATGAATTTCAGATACTTGAGAAAAAATCCGGGTGTGAACAAACGTGTATGTTTTGAACCTCTACCCTTTCTCAGGCCCTCTTCTAGGATAAATACTTGGGACATGTCAGACCTCACAGCTCTGGGTCTGGACAAACTTGAATTTAGATCTCAGTCCCATCACTTTCAAACTGTGTGGTCTGAGGCACAGAATGTCATGTCCTTGGAGCTCCAGTTTCAGTAGTCAGAATAAGCTTATTGGGTTGTTTTGAAGATTTAAAACGGGATATAAATCATGGATTACTGGAGGACACAGGTAAGAGCCACTTAAGAAATGGTAGCCATTATTATCTTTCTCAATCTTCACAATAACTCAGGGAGGTAATAGTCATTATCTCCCTTTGTTGAATAAGAGACCGAAGCCCAGGAGGCTAAGTAAAGCTCCCAAGCTCACATCAGTGGTGAGACAGCTGGAATGCATTTTGAATCCAAAGTCAATTCTCTCAGCATGCTGTTTAGAAACACTTGCATATTCAGGAAGCACCCTCCTTTAGCTTATTCAGGTTTGTGATGATGCCCTATTCAGATGGAAAAGCGGGTGAAACAAACACTGGTGGGTCGATGCTTTCTGCAGTAAGTCCATAAACTGGATATCGATCACCCTGCAACTATCCCATAAAGTACTGCAATTATCTTTTGAAGGTCTGATCTCCATATTGTGTCTCCAAGCACCTTGTAGACACTTACCTTTGTATCCCTGACACCTAGCACAGTGTTTGATATTTAGTAGGTGCTCAAGAAATGTCCACAGGATAAATGAAATTACTGTGATGGCATAGGTATACAGGCCAGGGAAGGTGCTTGCAACATAGATGGGTATCATAAATCTTGCCTTCTCTCCTTCTAGTTTAGAG